GTAAACTATACCTTTAAACGTGAAGCAAGAGAATTTTACACCAATGATGATAAAAGGTATGTATGACTACAGTCACTCAAACTCCACCTTAAAGGTAGAAAGGATATATAAATAGCCAGGGAAATGGGGGATTTTCGGAGAAGAAGATCTTTGGAGGAAAAGAAGATAACACCGTGAGCAAGTCAAGGGAAACTCCACCTCAGACTGCCTCCGACAACCGGGACTGGCCGATGGGCTGAGCCTTGTTTCTCCCCTCCTTGGGACGCCTTGGGTGAGACTTTAAGCGCTTTTTCTCGGGAATAGTTACTCCCTAATGTTTATAACAAGGCTGTATTATTTATAACCTTTTCACGGGTTTTATATTTGCACGTGCTTTCTTGCAGACAGTCACTATCACTGGCAATTCAAAAAACCTGTATACCTGTTGCACAAATCAAACTGCACTGTTTAAGTAGCCAGTTGTCGCAGTTTCTCACTGAACACGACCAAATGCAGCTGTGCTAGTTCATGAGCACGACTAGAATGAAGGTGCAGACTGCTATGAGTGTATCCAGAATCGTGGTAGTTTAATATACGTATTAAATGCGACTGGACTGGTAGTGGCAAATTGGACATTACTCAGAATTTAAACCTAGCTGTACCTAGCCTCTCACTCCGGTGAAGAGAGTTAGAACGCGAGGGGGTTTATTTTCTGCCAAATTAATGCGACAATAGCCCTCTGCTGGACTTTTTCCAGCTCTTCCTTGTCTTATTTTTTTATCTTCTCACTGAGCTTTGTGGTCTGGTCTCATCCCAGTGTGGGACTGCAAAAGTCTGCTTTATCTGATAACCACAGCATGGCTCTGACTGCACAGTATATGAAAGTACAACACTGTCCTCTGGTGCTGCAGGAAGACACAGAAAAATTAATAACAACACACAGGCAGGAAGACAAACTCTGCTGTTTATTTGCGGTGTTACTCAGGGGAGGGGGGATCAAACACAATCAAGGCAAACCCTCCGCGGTGCACCCCCCAAGGGCCAGGGCAGCAGCAACTCTTGCCCGCAGCAGCTCCACAGGGAACAGCGAGGACGGTGGCATCTGCAGCGGGACAGGGGAGGAGGGTCAGGGAGCAGTGCCGTGCCTCGCCACACCACGCGCTTGTGTGTGTGTGAGTTTATAAGCCAGCACGCCTGGCTTACCAGAAGATGCCCATCTCCTTCCTCCGGTTGATGTCTCTCTTCAGCTGGCAGAGGGCACACATGGGGCAGAACATGAAGGAGATCCAGTCACTCAGAATGGAGCCCTGCGGAGCAAGGGACACTGTATGAATAACCCTGCCCCACGTTAGCTTTTAAGTCTTCCTATTTTTCATTGTCATCACCCCGGGGCAGCTCACCCCTGGCCCTGCAGCACGCTCCTGCACATGCCCAGTGAGGACTGGGATGAGGCGGTGTGCAATGGTATTACCTCCGGCTCACAGCGGGGATGCAGATCTTTCCCTGGCTCCCTGCCTGCGGGGCTGCCAGTGCAACTCCTCACCACCCCTCTTTCCCTTTGCACCAAGATCTGGACATACCCCTTGTATCCATCGCATCTAGAGCTTTTTAGATTAGATACAGGGAAGAAATTTTTTTACAGTGAGGGTGGTGAAACAGTGGAAGAGATTGCCGAGAGAAGTGGTAGATGCCCCATCCCTGGAAACATTCAAGTTGGTTTGGATGGAGCTCTGAGCAACCTGGTCTAGTGGAAGATGTCCCTGCTCATTGCAGGGGGTTTGGACTAGATGACCTTTAAAGATCCCCTCCAACCCAAACTGTTCTATGATTCTACGATGATTCTGCCAGCTGCTGTGGCCAGTGGCAGCGGAAGGCAGGACGTGCCACTGGTGAAGGGCGCTGGGAAGGAGTTGTGTCTGATTAACATGTGTTGTTGGACACCAGCCCAGGGATCAGCATGGCTGAGAGTTTCCCAATCCCTGTCCTGTGCTCCCAGCATCCTGCAGGATACGAAAGTGAAGAAAAGGGCGAGCGGAGAGCACTGCTACCCCATGCTCATCCCTGATGTGCAGAGAGAGGAGCCTTGGGGTCTCCTCGTTTTTCAGCCTTGCAGCACAGTGAGGGGGTGGGTTAACTACTGACCGGGATGTTGTATCTGGTGCGGTAGAGGGTCCTCATGGCCACGCTGGTCCCGCACAGGCAGCACTCGTTCATGTCCCCGGCCACTTGGCACCCCAGGCAGGGGAAGCAGAAGGCTCCGCAAATACCTGTGGGACAGTGAGACACGGGCTCGGCTGAGGGGTGCAAGGAAAGAGAAAAGGGGGGAAAGCGGGCTGGGGATGCAGCTGTGGGAGCCATGGCTCTTAACCTCAGAGAGGAGCTGCTCTGCTGCTGGTACCCACAAGAGTGGGGTTTGCAGCAGGGGCGATGCTGCAGAAGGAGCGGGGAAAACACCAGAAACACATTGTGAGCTGACACCAGGAATGAGGGGTATGTATGTACTCACACACGCCGCAGTCAGAGCAGCAGTCCATCAGCCCCGACTGCCACTCGCCTACCCGTGGGGCAGTCATAAACTGGGGCTGGACTGTAATGACTTGCTGAGAGGCCATTGTCAGCACAGGGTCGCGTCCCTCTGGGCAGTTTGTGGTCTGGAAGGAAAAACCATTAGAGAAAGATGCTGCAGGTGTTTCTGAAGAGGGTGTCTTGTTCAGGCTCCTGTGTTTGAAGACGGAGAGGGCAGCACAGGTCCCTAAGGGGTCCCCACTACCAGGGCAACACCACCCCCACTGCAGAGTGGGGGGCACAACTCTGCCAGGAGCTGCCACTGTCCTTTTCGCAGCAAAGCCCTCTCCAAAACCAACCCCACACCAAAGGCAGCAGCACCTTTTCCCCCTGCCTATGCAAGCAAAACAGAGGTCCTTCTGCTTCAGAGCCTCAGTGCTTCAACGCTTCATTCCTTTCTTCTCATCCCCAATTAATCTTTCATTATTATCTGCTTAAAATTGTATTTTTTTTATGTTCACAGTGTCCCAAAGCTACTATTACTTGGTCCTAGATTTACAGAGCTCTCAGTAGTCACCTTAATCTTTGCATTTTTCCCTGAGAATCTCAGCCTGTTTGCCTCTCCCTTTCCCTTCCTTCTTCACCTGCTTTCTTCGCAGGCTTCAAGGTAGTGGGTTTTCCTTGTCCCTTTCCATCACCCTAAGCCCAGTCACCAGTTCCCATCCCTTTTCCACTTGCCTGTCTGTGCCAGTGCCTCATCCTCCTCTTCCTCAGTTCCCTGGGGCCACCACAGGCCCTAGACCCCCACTCTTGCCCATCCTTTCCCAGCAAGGGCCCAGAGACCCTGAGAGTAGCAGAGGTCCTGCTCACAGCACTGTCTCCAAACCCACCTGACCCATGTAACCACTGCACCTGCACCTCCACTCCAGGTGCGACCCCTTCCCTCCTTGCCACGCCCTGCCATTCTCACTTCAGCTTCCAAGCTTTAATTTTAAAAAATTAAAATAGAGGATGCTCCCGTAGGAAGTTGCATACGGACAAACTCCCTGCCCTGTGCCCAAGCTTGGCACCACTCTGTTAAGCAGCACAGCGATGAGATGCAAAGGCTCCTATGGTCTCAGAGCTACAATGGCTCTCTCCCACTCCTAACGCACAGCCACACATCCTCAGCAAAGAAATCACCAGCGGGGAAGCAGCCTGAGCTTTGTTTGGACAGCTCGTGTCCGACCTGCCCTTGCCCATCTTTGACACGTTTGTCCTGCCTGCGCAGGCAGCAAGGCTGCCTGTGTGGGTGATGGCTAAAAGCCTGCTGAGCAGCCTTCCCCTCCCTGCCCTGCGGCTCCCTGCCCCTGTGTGACAAGGGAGCGCCTGAGTTTCGGGATGCTGGGAGGAGCAAAAAGAAAAACAGGGGAAGTATTTACATTTTGAAGCAGGGGATGATGGCATTAATCCCTGTAAATTCTGTTAAAGCACTATAAAGTGAATGGGATCATTTTCATGTCAGAATTACACATTCACACAGAGCTTACGTATTAAACACAAGGAATATGGTGGAATAAATATATTACTATGCCCAGCATTCAGGTGATGCCATTGAGCACACTACCCACGTCCAACACCAGAGAGACACAGGCTGCGGCATTACATTTATATTGACTACTGTCAACAGGGGGAAAAGTGGTCGGTGGCTCTGCTGGCACCTCCTGCAGCTCCCCATAATTTACAGACTGGCCTGGACACATAGAATGGAATCATAGAATCATTAAATCTTAGAATGGTTTGGGTTGGAAGGGACCTTATAGTTAATCCAGTTCCAACCCCCTTGCCATGGGCAGGGACACCTTCCACTAGACCAGGTTGCTCAAAGCCTCATCCAACCTGACCTTGAACACTTCCAGGGAGGGGGCATCCACAGCTCCTCTGGGCAACCTGTTCCAGTGGCTCACCACCCTCATAGTAAAGAATATCTTTCTTACATCTAATCTAAATCTACCCCCTTTCAGTTTAAATCCATTACCCCTTGTGCTATCACTATGTGCCCTTGTAAAAAGTCCCTCTCCAGCTTTCTTGTAGGCCCCCTTCAGTTACTGGAAGGCTGCTCTAAGGTCTCCAGGCTGAATGTCTCTACTGTCAGACACCGCCTGATGTGGTATGGCCTACCGTTGTGCCCTGGTAGTATGCAGAAAGAATGGATGTTGAATTACGCCGTGAGAGGGAAGAAAGCTTGTAAAGAGTCTCCACGTGATCTTCTCATGACTTTTTGCAGCTTTCTGCAAGCAGCAGAAGCATGGCTGGGCTGATGCTCTCTGAGACATTAGTATCTGCTCCCATTAGACGACCAGTGGCCATGAAGGGTGAACCGACAGCTGGTGCGATTGTCTCAGTCACCAGCCCCCGCCGGGGGCCCAGAGGCAAGGCTGTTTTCCTGCTGCCACTGAACAGGGCTGTTGAGCAGTAAAAATGCTGCTGTGGCCTCGCTGGGGCAAGCCAGCTGGCTGTCAGCAGGGACCTTTAGAGAGAGCGCAGGCAACCCCTCCACCAGCCTCCCACACCAAGGAGGGTCTCCCCCACCGCCAGGTAATGAGACCAACAGCAGCGCAGGGTGAGGATGCGGTCGAGCGCTGCTCGCCACCACCCTGTGCCCTTTGCAGGTGGGGCATGGACTTTCCCTTCCTCTGCCCACGTACGAGCACACCACATTCCTGCGCGGACAAAGGCTGTGGTGTGGAGCAGGCAGCAGCCTGGAGAAGACTCTGCAGCATGAGCACCTCCTGAGAGGTGGTCTGGGCCCAGCACACCCAGCAGATCACTTCGAATGCCCCCCAAATCTGCAGCTCCGCGGCATGATCAGCAGTGTTGTAACAGCCGATGGGAACAAAACAGACCCTGAACTGCGAGCAGCTGCATTTCACCAATAACCAAAGTCATAAAGCAGTGCTTTGTTGTGTATAGGCACATTTATATACGCACAAATGAACAACACAGTGCAAAGCTGCTGTCCTTTAATTCTGCCACCCACTTCTGTCAAGCCACCCATCAGCAGCACCCTCTGATTTAGCTCTGAAGTAGTTTTGCAGGTAGAAAGTCTCCCCTCCTTTTCCACCCCTTCACCTTCCCCAGCAACACCGCTTCAGCCACGAGCAGTTACCATAGTTTTGCACCGCAGCTCTCGCTGAAGCAAAGCCAAGGCGTACATACCTGCCCGTGTCCCAGGAGACGCGTATCCTTTTCCTGGTTCCCATGCCTTATATGCTCTGGGTGCTCCCCGGCAAATGACCTCTGCTCCCTCTGACTAACAGACCAGGTGCTGGCTTAGGTGCTGCTTTGCGTAACTGCAGCTTCACCGCTGAAGGCAGCTGGCTGCAAGCCTGCTGCCCCCACCCCCACCCCCTTTCCCCACCTCAGCATCCCGCAGGCCCAGAGCCCCGATGGGACACCTCACTTTCGCAAGCGGTTTTCAGACAAGGACAGTTTGTTTTTGGGCTCCTGCGCTGCCTTAAGTGATCTGCTGCTGGAGGTGCAGCACCTTTCCTTCCTCAAGCCTGAACATAAGCAAGAACTGACCATAACTCCATTGGGTGACACAGGTGCTGCCTTGAGGTACAGCTACCAGATCATACCATGCTGTGCTGGGATGAGATGGCAGCATGGTATTTGTTCACTCCCCCTCTCCACATTCCCGGCTTTTACCCCTTTCAGGCTAAAAATGCAGGTTTTTGTATTTCCAGAGATCATCCACAGGACTGTCTGGGGTATAGGCAGGTGGGAGAGCTGCAACGCAGACACACCCCGCAGCACTGACAGAGCCTCCACCTGCCCTTTACAAGGTTTGTGGTGAAGGCGTAGGCAGAGGGGGAAAGAAAATACTGTGTTTTCCTTAGAGCGTGAAGCTGGGGGAGATTTGCAAGGATCAAAAATCCTTCGGCATCTCGTTGAGAGTGACAGAGAGAGGGTGGATGCAACCTCTGCCTTTTGTATGGGGAGCGTATCACTAACAGCCCAGCGCAGGCAGGCATGCTCTGGCTGGGAGACGGCAGGGTTTGCCCATGGGGAGGACTTGGCCAGCCCATGGCCCAGGCAGGTTTTTAATTGCAGGCGGGTGGGAATTCATGCTCAGAGTCATAGGGGAGTACATCTCTGCGGTGCAGGAGGTGGGCTGGTGCCAGGCAGCCAAAAATCCCCGAGGCTTTATGTTCAGAAAGGTGGGACTGGCCAGCAGACCTGGACAGCCACCCAGGCCACTGCAGCACAGGCGATTTGACACTTGGTGGCCTGCAGCCATCACCTGCCTGTGGGAAGCCCCAGCTCTGCCCTAAAGCAGAAGTCATTTTTCCGAATTTTACAGCTTGGAGGGCAACAACGACTCCCCCCATGTATTAAACACCCTTTCCAAAAGCTGAGTGAATAATGAAACACTAGTGACAATCTTTCTCTGCAGCGGGTGCAGGGAAATCTCACCTGCACCAGGGGCTGCCAAGATGGGCAGAGCAGGAGAAGGATGGGTGCTCCCAGGCAGCGCAAGAGTGACACACACAGAGGCAAGAAAGCAAACTCTGCTGTTTATTCACGATATTACTCAGGGAAGGGAGAATCAACCGTAATCAAGGCAAATCCCCTGCGGTGCATTTCCCAACAGCCGGGGCAGCGGCGACTCCTGCCCACAGCAGCTCAGCAGGGTGCAGCAAGGACAGCGGCATCTGCAATGAGATGGGAAAGGAGGGTCAGGGAGTGGGGCTGTGCCTTGCCACACCATGTGTGTGTCCCCCAGTCCTTCCCCTCCTGTCCTGCATGAGGGTCTCAGCAACATTTTGCTGCAGGACAGGTCACTTTTGTCACCTGTCCATGGCTGTTTCCCTGCTGCAGCAACCCTGTGTCTTTCGTCAGGTGTTGGCAGGAGAGAGTCCGCTTGGCTGCGTGTGGTGATGGCTTGATAAACCAGCACCAGCACGCCAAGCTTACCAGAATATGCCCATCTCCCTCCTCCGGTTGATGTCTCTCTTAATTTGGCAAACGGAGCACACGAGGCAGCACGTGGTGACACAGCAGTCAGAGCAAATGGACCCCTGTTAGGAAGAAATTGGTTAGGGACATAGGCTTCCCAAAAGCCATGTTTTGGCCAAGAAAAGGTTAATCACGTTCCACGTCATGTGTTTCCTGGCTGGCTGCAGACACTAAAAATTGGGACTGGCGAACCCCACACAGTGGAAGAGAAAGAGGGAGCCCTTTCTGCAGGCTGCAGATAGCTACCTCTCTTTCAGCTTTCGAGGTTAAGACTGGGAGGAAAAACGCACACAGAAAAAGACAATTTGGGTGAACTGGACTTGGGCTGTCATGGTTTGCACCGGGGATGGCACTAACCCCCAGTGGGAAGAAACCATTTCACATATGTACTGTTTCCAAAAGTCCACCTTTCTCCTGCATCCAAGATATTTATCTGTTTAGTTGACTTAAAGCAAAGTTTCCCCAAGCTGTTAGAGGAGATACCCGCTGTCAGCTGAGGGTGGTGGTAGTGTTTCAGCACTCCTATGGCAAGGCAGATCAGTTTATGGATGATGCAGCAAGCAAGATCAAGGACCACAGCTGTCTGAACATCTGTCCACTGACTAATGTGACGCTGTTGCGGTGTATCAGGTGCCATGGGAGTGCTGACACCCATAAAAGCAAGGAGACTTCTGTCTGCTCTTGAAGGCCTTTGTTGGTAAAAGGAAGTATCTTCTTTCCCCCTCCTCCCCTTCATTATTTTTGCACCAAGATCTGGACATACCCCTTGTATCCATCGCATCTAGAGCTTTTTAGATTAGATACAGGGAAGAAATTTTTTTACAGTGAGGGTGGTGAAACAGTGGAAGAGATTGCCGAGAGAAGTGGTAGATGCCCCATCCCTGGAAACATTCAAGTTGGTTTGGATGGAGCTCTGAGCAACCTGGTCTAGTGGAAGATGTCCCTGCTCCTTGCAGGGGGCTTGGACTAGATGATCTTTAAAGGTCCCTTCCAACCCCCAGCATTCTATGTTTCTATGATCATTTTGCTATTTCAGGATTTGTGGCCAGATTTAATTCTTCAGTTTCCCTTGTATTTTCTGTGTATTGGCTAGCAGCTAAGTGTACAGTCTCCGTTGAATAAAATGATGCATTCTTGTGTTGAGCGACACAAGTATCCGTTGATCCTTTTTAGTGCTAGCAGATTGTGCTAACTCTAACCACTGACAAGTTCCGGGGTACAAATAGTGAGTCACGTCATAAACGTTATTCTGCATTTTCAGAACATGGAATTACTGCCAAGAATTTTTTTCAGAAGTTGTTAAGAAATTTTCAAAACTGAGGTTGGTAAGTTTAAGAAAAATTCGGAAATGCGTCTAAACTGCACATGTCAGCCCAATGGCAGGCGGCGCCGGGGAAGCAGAACATCCCGCAGCAGACTGGCAGGGAGAGAAACGCAGTGGTGGGTGAGGCTCTGCCTGCCTGCCTGGCACCGCTGGCATCAGGGTAAGAATTGGGACAACCAGGCTACATGGCTGTAGCCATGGCACCACCAACCCGAGTGGCAGGGGCAAGAAAAGTGTCCCAAGAGGGCATGGGACCGACCACAGCACGTCACTGCCGACGGCTGAGAGACAGGACCACCTGAGGCACTCACAGACGCTGCAGTCGGTGCAGCAGTCCATCAGCCCCGTTTGCCACATGTTCCTTGAGGCAGCGGGCACGGCCATGCCGTACTGCGGCTGGATTGTCACGACGGAGGGGACAGCCATTTCTAGTTGGTCTTCTGAAAGAGACAGGAAGGCAACGGGGCAATTAGAGAAAAAACTATGGTCGGTCTGATGCTCCAACTGAGCTGGTCGCCATCGCTCTTCAGCTGGCAGCCTGTCGCCCAGCTCCCTTGCTGCCACTGGAGGTGACAAAGCATAACTGTATCTTATTTTCATTTTTGCCTTTTCAAAGTTTTTGCCTTTTCTGCCATTTTTATCAAGCCTTCAGAATAGCATCAGGCCACTGACGTTTCCCACTCCACCCCAGAAAGGCTTTGCTAGTGCTTAGATGCAGTTCACCTATTTCCCGTGTGCCAAGCAGGGCTGGGCAGCGAACCTAGGATAAAGCCAGTGACTCAGGCATTTTGGTTGTTGAACTTGGCATGTTTTACACAAGATCGCTTTGACATGGGTACAAAGCATGTGGGAAGCAACCATGGTCTTGCATTTCCTTGTAACGAAGCTGGGCTTCACACAAGAGATACTGCAGAAAACTAGTATTTCCGGTTTCTTGTCCTAGAGAGCCATAAAGGCAGAAACTCCGCACTATGTCCCAAGGCTGAACCCTGGTCCCTGCCTTCCTGTGGTTAAGCAAGCACGTAAACCTTGAAAACCAGTAAGCCTCAGGTCTAAAAAAGCCCATGAAAATCTGTGCACTCCTATTCTCCCAGCCAAGTAAAAGACAGCACAAAACATTCCCAGACAACAATTAAAAGCAAGTTTTGCCCTGAGGCCAAGTTCTTCTAGTTATGCACAAATAGAAGAAACGGGAGCGAAAAGCAAGTAAGATAAACTGCCTGCTCACATTTGTTGACACTTTTTGCTACAAATTGGAGTTGTTCTTTTTTTTTTCCTTATTAGCAATATCAGCCTGGGAAAGGCAGAACCTTGCTGCTGGGTGATTGGGCTCCTCCCTGCACAGCTCCTGAGCTCAGAAGCCAGAACAGAAACTGAAATGAAGCAGGCGATGCTGAGGCGAGGGGCACCTTCCCTCTCCGCACTTTGGGGTAATGCACACTCCTCCAGAAGGCCCACTCCTGGCTTCACCCGGCAGCACACGCCAGCCTGCGAGCCCGGCGTGAATGCAGCCAGAGGCAGCATCAGGAATGTGTTCAGAGGGAAACAGTGAGCGTGCATTACCTCCAAGCGCTTCCCTCTGCTGACCCACAGCAAGACTACCGACACACAGTAAATCTCTCTACTTTCTACACTTTTACAAACACACAGTATTCTGTGTACGAGTATTGTTCACATACTTTCTTAGCCGCAAACATTAATGAAGAGATTGCAACATTAAGATGCTCTTGTCACCAACACCACACCCCGCTGAAAAGGACAGCAAATACACAGGGAGACAAGGGAGCAACATACAAAAGTGACTGACATCCAAGCTTCTGTCAGGACAACAGCTACATCCAGCACATCCTCAAAGCCTACCAGAAAACACATACAGCTAATCAGCCTTGCTAAGAGGAATTTGGTCTTGTGCATCCATGTAGACATGAGAGACCCCAATTTAAAGAGAAAGCGAAGTACCAGCCAGGTTCCTTTAACATGCTTATACAGTTCTGGTAGCAGGAGAAAGCAGCAAAGAACAAGTAACCTCTCCATAATCCAGCTTTTGTGCATAACTTTTTAAAAGCCTCCCCCCTTCCCTAAGCAGGATTTGCCATATATTTTTCTCTAAATTATGTGCTGAGCATGAAAAAAAAAACAAACCAAACCCTCTACTTCTGCACTATTATCCCACTCTTCTCAGGCTAACAATTTTTTACTATTTCCATGCTTTAAGAGAACCAACCTTCTGTCGAGCAGCAGATTTCCTCGCCGGCTGGGGCCCTGCGCAGAGAGGCTCTGGGGAAGATGAAACTAAACTGTCTCACTCTTGGAGGCTCTTATTGGCAGCCAGCAGTGAGCAAGTACAATGGTGGGAGGTAACTGGAGGGGGAGGTCAGGAGCTCTGTGCTCCCTTGGTACGACTACAGGCTTAACGCACGTGCAGAGCACATTTTTACTTTTATTTTCCTTTTCCTAGAATTGAATCACTGACTCCTATTCATCTTTTTAAAAAACGATTGCGTGTATACTGTCTTCTTCCCTTAAATCTGCGTACATGTGGTTGTTGTTTGAGGGAGAACAGCTCCAAATGATGTGCATTTGTCAGGATAGACATTTTTCCCACATTTTCCCCCACGAAAAAGCATACTTCTCAGATCCCAGACCAGACTAAATGAAGAGCACCTCAGGATGCCTCACTCTGAGCTTCTCCCTTTCCTCAAGGAAAAGGCTGCAGACAAAAGAGATTCTGCAGATCTGCTTGCTTTCACAGCCAGCCTTGGGCAATGGCTGCTGAGCAGCAGGGCAGCGAAAGGGGGCCGTGGCAGGGGCTCCTGGGTGCCCGAAATGTCCCTGCGGTGCCCAGAACAACCCCAGCCCGCTGTTGCAGGGGGCAAAACAGCCCTGTGCTCTGAGCCAAAGCCAGCAACAGCTAAACCCATCTGCATCAGGGTGTGTGTGCCTGCAGCTCAGCACCTTGTACCACAACACGGTGACGCGGGGCAGCCCCAACCCCGACCGTCCTCCTCCACTTCCATTCAACTGCAGATAAGGCAGCAGCAGGACATGATGGTACTTTTACTTTCAATCCTCTCCTCCATCTGCAGAAAGTGTGCTCCCAGCTCCTTCTTAGGGATGCATTTGGGTGTTCATTTCTGAATTGGTAATTATACCCCATGTGGAGGTTTTCTATAAAAAATAGGCTGATTCCCTAAGTGCTTGTCACACGTCATGTAGCCCAGCTACTGTAAAATTAACTGAGTCCTTACCATACATGCATCCATTTCCCTCTGTGAGATACTGATATTTACCATTTCTCTGCTAACACACCCCAACTGTTTAACTGCTTATGCCCTGTGCGAGTCACTGACAGTTTTGGATGCACTTCCACATTTCATAGCGAAGCTGTGACACCAGGATAGCGGTTTTGGGTTCCTAGCGTGATGCACAGAGTGTGCAGAGAGCACAGAGTGGGTCTGAGCAGCTGCTTGCCCAGAACATCACAAGTTGAAAGCATCCCAGGTGAAGTGCTGATGGTGTGCTCCTCTTCTCTCTCGCCATTGACAAGAACAGGGGAAGGGGAAGTTTGGGTTAAACTGCAGCTTACCAGCTTTGCGAACAGGCCAGGATTTATGGTGCATTAAGCATCGCGTTTTACCAATGGCACTGCTGAGATAAGAGTGAGCTGTGCCCTGAAGTACTCTCCTTGGCTTCCAACAGCTCCAAAGTTTAACTGCAGCTGTCCCTGCTCTGTGTCGGGGCTGCCTGGCTGGCCCTTGGCTGGATCATACACTTTTTCAAAAACATTGCAAGAGGTTGCGGGAATTGAGGTCTGCAAAAAGTTGCAGTTCAGCAGATGCGTTCTAGAAGGCGAGACACCTGACGTCCCATTGCCTGGCTAGAGGAGGCCCCCAGCCTAGATGTCTGCTGGGCAGGGAGGGAAACAGGAAGCTGAAGTGCACAGTCAGTATCAGAGATGACAGATTAAAAAATAGCTAATTGCAACATTTTAAGGATTTTAACAGTATGTCCTCTATTCAGAGCTGGGGTGATGCTGACTGGTTGAGCAACCAAGCCCTGCAAGCGCTTTTCTTCTGCAGAAAAGCAGACCACTTCTAGCTTCAATCGTGGTGCATCAAAGTGTAACGGCCCTATGCCAACCGAGAAAACACCACCACAAACATCTGCCTTAGCTCATTCCCTCTACCCGGTGTTTAAGTCGCACAAAAAACCCTGCAAAAATCTCACCAGCAAAATCAAAACACGAGCTCCTGAAACTCACTCGCAGCAAGAGCATCCCCCTCGCCCAGCACCATCCCGGAGCCCCCGCCATGGCTTCTGGCCAGAGCTCACCCTATGCCCTGACCGGGGCTCTGCCGATGGCTGGCGGCCACGGTCCCCTTCACGTGTGGCTTCTCCAGGTCTGCAAAGTGGCACTGCAGGAAGACAGGCAGTTGCTGCAAAGCACCCCTCTCTCAGCCACAGCAAGGCAACAAAGAACAAAACATCTCAATAGCTAAGAAGAAAGGGAACATGCTAACAGAACCAAACCTTTAACGCCTTTTTCCATGTAGTAAGAATAAAAGATTATTTCTAAGCAGACAATAGAAAAAATCAGTTGAAATTAATATTCGTCAATTTAACTTGTATTACAGTAAATGCAATTTTGATAAAGATGCAGGAGTACAGATCAAAAAAACCCCTCCCTGAACACATTTTTGCTTTCTCTACAAAGAACAAAGTACAAATTACATAGTTTACCATTGCATTTTACAGAGAAGTGGCAACCAGAAACTAGTTTATTCCATTTTATGCTGATGCCATCCACATGCAAATACTCCCACCTGTTCTCCGTACCATTTGAAACAACTCCATCATTCTACGTAAAACACTACCACAAATCAGCAAAGCCACCTTCCCCAGCACGCTGCCTCGTGCTCCTTGTGACACAAACCCTGGTGTCTTGAGTGGCGAGTAGTGGGCTCGTTGACAGAGGGCCTGCCGTAAGCCCACTGGTGTGCAGGTCTGGGGGGCTGTCTGGTGGAGGAGGGTGCCTGAGGGCCTCTCTCTAAAGCTCTGGTCCCACCAGCCCTTGCAAGAGGCAGAGTGCCAACCTCAGGGTTTCAGCATGGTTTTGTTTCAGACATGGAGAAGGCCTTCTTCATCTGAAACTTTGCTTTTTTCCAAATGTCTCAGCTGGTTCAATGGAAGAGCACCTCTCCCCCAAACCCTGCCTCCTTCCCACCACTTGGAATGGCTCAGGCGAAATGAAAATCCCTGTGACTACAAAAGCTGGATGAGAAAGGAGTGGAGCAAGTGCTAGGGGAAGTTTTCACAGTACTTAGAAATGCAGGTAAGGGTCAGGTTCACATCTCACTGAAACCAAAGGGACTGCAGCTGGTACGAGGAGAGCGCTGTTCTCTGCCCACACCTGCACATCCCTCGCC